CGAAAGACTATAGACTAAAGACGTAGGGAAAAGAAGTGAACAAACTCCGCGTCCGAATATGGCACACCAATATTTTGCCAAACCGAATACATGAAATTCCGACGCATTAGTATCTTTATCGCTCGGAAAAATGACGAAATGACGATTAGTAACGAGGTTTTCCGATTATCGAGCGAGCGGACCTCGGAATGCTTGACGGCCACATGATATTAACTCGTTCAGAGAAGAGTCAGTCCGGAGGAAAGCTTTTTCAACTGGTAGTTCGGGAAGGGGGGGGGGGGGGTGCACGTTCCCTCACCAAAACCTGATCCAGCATACACTATGTACGCAAAACCAGAAATTCAGCCAAAACAATAGTGTCCCCGACATTAAGAAGGCCCCCTTTAAAAAGTGTGACACCCTCCCCCTTTTTCTCTTTTGTCGGAGATTTTTCGGGCTCCACCTTCCTCCAAAAAAAATGCTGGATCCGCCACTATTCCCAGTGGCATCGTGATGCTTATCACCACCATTTCAAAATTGTTATCATCTCCAAAATATAGTCATAAAGTATCGCGCGCTGCCTGAATGAGTGAGGGTGATAACCGGGAATGCCGAGTTCATTGAACTCCACCATCCATCATGACCGAGAGAGAGATGGGCAATCTCGTTTGGATTGTCCATGATGACGGTGTGGCGTAGCCTGGTTGAGACACTTGGGGGCGAGGCATGTTGTCACGAGGGGCGCGCAATGGTTTTACTAGATAATTATGGGGAAGATTTAGGAGGGCTATAAAACCATTTGTTTTGGTAGAAACCCCCTTATCTAAAAAAAGAAGGAATTTTTATTATGATTATTATTATTATTATTTTGTTGTTGTTGTTGTTTTTTTTGTTTTTTTGGGGGGATCTATTTTTATTTGTCTTTTGAACCATTCGATTCGGGGGAAACGAGGGAGGGGGGCTACACTCCTAGTGTCAATAATAATAATAATAAAAACGTTACTTATAAAGCGCTTACCACCGAAGTCTCTAAGCGCTATACACACAAAATAGACAATTACATCTTATACAAAACTAAAAATGCAAATAAACATACAAATTACAATACATATGGAATACACGTCAAAGTGAACAGAGTTAATTAATCATCGAACGCAATTTTGAATAAATGTGTCTTGAGACTAGTTTTTAATAGGTTAACGGTTTGACAGTTTTTTACATTTAAAGGTAATCTGTTCCAAAGTTCAATACTCTAGCCGAGTACTAGTTCGCAGAGGCGTATCAAGAAATGAATGAGCAGCAAATATTCATGAACTTGGGAGTACTAGCACTGTCCCTGCCGCAGCCCAAATGTTAATGGAAAGTTAGAAGGAAAATAAAACGATAAGAAAACAGACTTCTCTCCGAGCCTGTGGCGGGCCTGTAAGTTGCTATATCACACCTTTTCTGTGCTTCAAGCTTGTCGCTTGAAATGTAACCTTTAAACGATCGCTCAATTATGATCTTAAAAATTCACAGCCTAGGTTTACCTACCTAAATATTATAGCTTCTAATATGCGTTTTTTGACAAAAAGAAAAACTAAGTAGCCTAGTGCATGTGGAAGCTACATGAAACCGATTTTAACCCGTTGACTTCTGAACACATTTATTGCCGTAGGTTTCATACAGGGGCCACCAGGTTCCAGTAGGCAATGGATTTTAATAATTATACGTGAAAATAATAGCCTTCACTCTGCATCTGAAGGTAAAAACTTCTCCCTTCAAATTCGAGTCTTCTCCTTTAAAACGGAATTCTGGCGAATACGACTCTCCATTTTGCTAGCTAGGTCTCTACTTAAATCTCAACTAAGGGATCACATCAGTGTAGTAAATAAACCTGGAACAATTTGAAACATCATTAATAGAATGACTCTATCTATCAAAGGATTTTTTCCCCCGCGACAACTGTTAGCGGGAGATATCGATGCTGTAACGACAAACGCTTTGTTCGTTTGATCTCCACCGCGAGCACTCCCGACGTCATCTGCCGTTAACACCGACCAGGAGCCGAGCGCAGCCGACAGGCCTTTTCTCCCAAACGGCTTCTCAAATTGGCGCCATATCTCTTTTCCAAGTTATCAATTTAACCCAATTTTCGACGCATAAGCGCCTTGACCGCTTCTGTGTTACTCCATGTTGTTATTTGTTCCCGCAATATTGACTTTTTTCTTCTTCGTCGTTGATTGAATAGAGAGAGAGAGAGAGAGAGGGGGAATGTGGTTTTTATGGTTTTAAAAAATACACGAAAATCGGGGTAGTGTAGAATGGGAATTGACATCCTACAAATGAAGATGTTGACCTGAATCATGAACTTTGTGCCACGAGGGAATTCGGAAGTGGAGCGTGCAGTGATCATACAAAAAGTGAGTTGACTAGGTATATATATATTTATATATGAATATAAACTAGATACGGGAAAGGAAAGGGCCAGCGACAAACACAGTTCGAAGTGGGAAAGGAAGGATGAAAATAAGAGGGGGAGGAGCGATGATGATGAATCAATTGAAAAGAAAAGGAAAAGAAGAAAGAAAGAAAGAAAAAGAAACAGGAATTAAGAAAAAAAAAATGAAGAAGAAAAGTAGGATAAGAAAACGGAAGATGAATGAGATAAAAGATGGACAAACAGATGAAAAGGTGGAAGAGATGAATTAAAAGAGGGTGAAAGAGAAGACGCTGACAAATTCAGATGAGATGAAATCATAAAGGGAGGTTAAAAGGAGAGCCATATCAGTACAACATGTATACTTGAACTGAGTCTGACAGTGGAGGAGAGAAGAGGAATGAGGCCCCGTGTGTAGGAGAGTCGCACCCTTTGCACTTTATGCTCCTCTCGGTGTATATTATAAGCCTGGTGTTTGGTGTGCCGCAATGAAACAATTTGTAGCAAGATATGAAGACTTCATTAACAAGTAACTGTGAAACGTTTAATCCTACCATAAACTGTAATATGAAGCGCGTGCTAACTGTGGTGTAGTAGCCAATGGTGGCGCCATTTCAAAACCAATGGCTCGTATACAAATAAATACGTGTCTCCCAGACACAGCTACTTTCAACATTATGTTTTTATAGCTTTTAGAACCAAAACGAGTTTAATTAATGTCTCAACTACTAACTAAATACATGTAGCTCGTCTATGAATAAATATATTTCAGTCGTTTGTATGATTTAATCATAATTATGCTTTTTTACAACTAAAAAGACCATAAAATAGTGAAGTGTTGAATACGTATATAGAAAGAGAAAAGGCAGAGGTATAATGAAAAAGGAGATAAAGTACCAACTTTGAAAGCACGATGTTTTTTTTAAAGGAGCTTTTTTAACAGACGACAGGGCTCCACACACTACTAGTAAATGTTTTGGAAGAGGGTCCAGAATGAACTTTAAAGGGAAGGTATACCATATTTAAAGAAAAAAAAAGAAGAGAGTTGGGGAGTCAGGTGTATGATGTTGGACGCCCAAATAACAAGGGGCAATGTTAGTGCCAAACCTAGCAGACGAGCACGATTGTGTTGTTAGTGAAACAGGACAGACTTATTCAAATACATACAAAATAAGAAAGGGAAATAATTCAATGCTTTTTGTTAAAATAATTTTTATTCATAATTTTGTTTCTCTCATTATATCATATGTTTATGTTTTACACAATGAAGTCGGTACAACATATATTGTCTACATGTACAGTCTTTAACTGTATAAGGCCTAACGAAAAAAGATGTTGTATTGCTCTTTAGGTGCCAAAACATGGGTCAGTCGGTCGGAAATCTTTTTTTTCTTCTTCTCCCTCTTTGGGCTGATATTTCTCAGTTTTGAATGCTTCAATATTGTTTCTAAAAAGCCGACCGTAGGTTTCAAGGTTTTGGGGTCGGTCGCAAAAGGCAATACAACATCTTTCTTTAAAGGCCTCATGGTTGAACATTTTTAGAAGAATAAATTATGACTAACATTTCAAACTGAACAAGCAAAGTTACAGTGGCAGATCTGGGGGAGGGGGGGGGGGGGGGCGGTGCCCCCACTCAGCCCCAAAGCCAAAATAAAAGATGATGCGAAACGAGGAAGGAAAAAAGGTTCACGGGGTGATAATTTTTTTCTTTTCGTTTTGCTTGTCAGAGAATTTTGTGTGTAAAACATCACACATGATGCCTCTTTTCTTTTTCTTTTGTGTGCTTGTCACTAAATTTTGGGACATGTTTCCCCCCTCACCAGATTATCCTGGATCTGCCACTGAGGTACATCGTCTGCAGAGTGCATGATGACCTTTTTTTTTTACACATGAAAAGATTATACATTAACAAAATCAGACGAATTTGTGTGTTTCAATTAGATTACCTCTGACCTTTTTTCTTAACAAAATGAATTTTTAAAAAAAATGAAAAGGTTAAACAGTGGTATTTTTACTTTACCATAAGTACATGTACAATAAATTTCGAATCATCTATGAAAACAAAATGGAAGAAAAAAAACCCTGATCCTGTCTCTAAAAAAGCAATTCATTACAAAGAATATAAAGAAATATATAGGACTGCTGAGAGCAAGGAAGACATTAAAGGTACTATGTCCCATTTGCAGGCCAAAAAAAATGAAAAAGTTAAATTCCAACTGCATTTGAAAGATAATACTAATTTAGAACTTCCCTCAAAAAGGTGGGGCTTGAAAATGTCTTCAAGTGGGAAAATAATGACTATTAGTTGTCAAATCGACTTTAGGGCTATACAGCCCAAAAGTAATAGTCTTGATTTTCAGACAATTGTACCGAATGGTCATACATTTTATGCTGCGCAAAGATTTAATCAGTTTGATCTTGGCCATCACAAAAAGTGGGTTATTGATGTAGACAAATGCTCACGTATCCTTTACAACTCTTTTCATGTATGTTATTACCAAAGAAGGAAAAAAGCCGGTCAGTCACTCAATAGTGTCTGACAGTGAAGTCTAGCAAGTAAACGGGTTTCCTTGCATAATTTGAATATGAGGACACTGCTAACGTTTAAATTTCACAGATAGGACATACATGACATATTCATAATTCCTGCAAAGTTCTACAGAATTTGAGGTTGGCTGCAAAAGGGACATAGTACCTTTAACTCATGAATTTGTTCTCAACAGAAACCATAACTTAACAGAACGCATATCATGGAACACTACAACATACTGATGTTAAATAATGAATCTATTGTGCTAATATTAATAATAATAATGATAAGATGTCCAATTATATTGTGTGGCTACTTTACAAATATACCCCAACTGTAGCTTAGCCGCCCCGATATTCAAAGGCACTAGCGCGTTCAAAGAATTTCTTACTAGCCAGTACCCATTTACTTCACCTGGGTGGTTAGTGGCAAATTTAGTGTAATTAACTTGCTTTAGGATATTCGTGCAGCGGCGGGACTTGAACCGCGAACCGTGTGATCCACAGTCCGATGACGTATCCACCAGAGTTAGACAACAACACCTATTCTAATATACCTTAGCTTGGTATACTTTTACTATTCTCCAATGCCATTCATTATTTTATCATTGTATGAATTCATCTTTATGCATAATTTGTTTCCTTCTTTCTATCCATAGGCCAATGTAGTTCAATACATAGTGCTTGTCACAGTATATCACACAGTCTACCTTCAAATTCCATGATCTTTGGCATACCTTCAATGCTCATTTCTGTTATATCATTACGTTTATTATCATCTGTCATTGTTTATATTATGTGAAAAGAAATGAAAAACTTATTCGCTCTGTATAGAGCTACTACTACCACCTTGTTACATAATACATGGGTGCTATTCTGAGATTGTTAAATGTTTATTTTTAGGAAAAATATTTCTATTGTCAACACAAATCTACAATTTTTACAGCACTTGGTAATGACTCTGCATAGGCAGCTGTGTATATGGAAGACACACATGTATACAACTTTAGCAGAACATTGCAATTCAAAATTTGTTTACTGAGGAATTATATATCATTTCATTACAATTGTAAGAAAAATCAAGATGAATACAATTTCATAATACCACCTCTAATCATTCTCACGTAAATTGTATCATTCAGCTCATTCACACGTGACCCAGTAAACTGCCATGGCAATTAACATCATTTTACTAATCTAATCAAGAAGGAGGAGGCACGTGGCTCGATGGTAGAGGAGTGTTCTCGAAACCAAGTCAATGCGCTAATGCCCTTCGGTAAGGCTTTCATCCTCATTACCAAGTCCCTCTGTAAGGACTTAATGCCCTACGTCCCCTAGTTGCTTACTTACAACCATACACATGCTTTATTAGCAGTCGGGTAAAAGAAACAAACATAAGACAACATCGTTTTCAAAATACCATCTCAACTTTTTTCTCTTACAGACGGTTTACCAGGTGAAGTGTGAACGAGGCTTTAATCATTGGTTTGATGTCTTGGAATCATGATTGCACATTGTGTCAGTATAATCTTCACTCAGACCCAGTCCTTGGGATTCTTCAGGATTTCCATCAACTTGGCCTCTTTGCTGCCCTCTTGTGGTGTGTGCTTGTACTGCCATTTCTGTGGAAAGGCAAAGATGACAACATGACTTTAATTTTCATAACATCTGTGTCCTTGAAATTAATTAATTAAAGATTGAAAAGTCAATAGACATACAATCTAGAAATATCACTATAAAGTCAATTAATCCATGAGAGTTCATTTTAAAACATTTAAATAGTCAATCAATTAATTCATTTATTTTTACGGAATTATTTGAAATAACAAAGTTATTAACATTTCTCTTTCAAATTCCATCAAAAACTCTGTTGAAAGATAAGTTTGAAATGGTAGTCCACAACTGAATTTTTTGCTTTTGATGTTGTTTTGTTTTTAGTTTCCATATCATTTCCATATCATGTGTTTGTATATTAGTGAAGTATGATTGTACAAGGCCTAAGGGCCTTATTTTTGTAGTTCCCCATTTCATTTTCAAATTTTGTGCGTGATTTATTTGTATCTATATCGATTGTTTCTTTAATCGAGAATGACATAAATAAAATGAACAAATGTGTGAGTGAACAAAATTTACAAAGTGGGTTATTGCTAACCGCTGTCTGAGGCAGTGACATGAGAATACTCTCAATCCTTGCTCCAGGGGTGAACAGGCCAAACTTGGTGCCACGGTCATATACAAGGTTGAACTCTACATATCTGTATTTCAGGAAGAGAGGGAGAGAGTGAGTGTGTATGTGTGTGTGTGTGTGTGTAAACAAAGAGACAGAGTAAGATAGAGAGTGAGTTAGAGAGAGACACATAGAGAGAAAAGAGATGGACAAACAAACAGAAAGAGATAGAGAGACAGTACAAAAGTACACTAAACATTCATCCGATTAAGTACATCTTGATACAGTGAGCTAAAAGTCATGCCCGTTCTCTTTATTTTCTAGCAGTTTTCTCACCTGCTCTGACAACTATAGAATTCCCTACTTTTCAAGGATAACAAGACTTGCTGTTTTACCATTAAAAATCCTGTTTGTTTGATCAAAATGGTGAGGTTTTTTTTTTACATACCGGGTAGATGTTGTTTATAACACATAAGAACATGAAAAATGGCCACAAAACGGCGGATTTCATGCTTTTTGGCAATTTGTTTTACTGAGTTAGGAATGACTGCCTTACCTTCCTCTCCTCAAGAGCTGCCATTGCCTGAAAGTAAAAAGATTAATATGAAAAATTAATTTACCTTATTAGAAAAATGATAATAATCAACAATTGACATTGATCACTAATGTGTATTATACAACCCACTCCTAGATTCTAATGAAATGATTGGTTGAGCAGAGTCATGTGTGATTCATTTTTTAAGCCTATCATACGTTTTTTCATTGAATAAGCGTGCAATAGTTTACAGTCCCATCCAACATTCGCAAATGTGGATTCTAAAAACACAAAGCGGCGATTAACTATGGTCGTTCGAAGTTCGAGATATTTCTTGAATTTACGGGAGCGTCTCTTGCTGTTATGACTGACACAAAGAAAGAGCTAGATGAAATTTGATGCTCCCCTGAGGAAACCAGATATTGAAGAAAACACCACGTAAACAATGCAATCGATTACATATGTCCTTCATTGACATTTCAAAGCTGAAAAGAACTGGGATTTATCTGATAAGAATGAATTTCCGGAGAACTATAATATGTGTTGATGGTCGTTTTGAAGAAAGAAGGAAAGGAAAACACTGAACACAAACACCAAAAATTGCCAGATGATAAGAATTTTTTTTTGGCGAGCAGAGATTTGGATTGCACAGCAGCTTCTGGACTCCAAAATAAAGTGTTTATTGACACTATTTCGTATTTCTGTAATCAGGGAAAAGAAAATCTCTGTGAGCTGAACGTGACTGACTTTAAAGTTAATGAGGATGAAGATGGAACAAAATTTGTTACCAAGAGAGACCACTTGCCGCGTAAAGGAGGACGAGTACTCAAGCCCTGGCAGATATGAGATCAAAGCTAGTGACCGTTGTCCTGTGATCTCTTTCCAGGAATATGTCTCAAAACTCAATCCCATGAATGATAACTTTTGGCAAAAACCAAAAAAAAAAGGTGTTTGAAGATCTTGACTGTTGGTATCACAATGCTCCATTTGGCGTAAACACACTCAGGAACAAAATGAGAGAAATTTAGAAGAATGCAAGCTGCAGCCGTGTTTACACGATTCATTGGTGGTAGTGGTGGTGGTGGTTATTGTACCTGACTGCTAAGAAAGCATAAATGCTTGTAAGTAAGCAACCTGACAGCCGGCGGCTTTAGGTCCTCTCCGAAAGACCTGGTAGTGAGGATTAATGCCTTACCAAAGGACACTAGCGCATCGACTTGGTCTCGAACCCGGGTCACAGGATTACGAGACCACTGCTCTACCGACTGAGCTATCGGGCCTATTGCATTAGAGCGACCTGCATAACTGCCCTTGACTCCTCTGGTTTAGCAAGTCGTGACATCATGACAGTCAGTTGACAAGGGTCTGAACATTCCATAAAAAACTACAGTATAACCAGCCAGAAGAGAAAAATGGAAATGAGTGTTGATCTTTCTGAGAAGCTCTCAAAGGAATCTCATCTACTGCGACAAGACCAGGACCAACCGAGCCAGATTGAGACCAAATTGGATCTAGATCTAATGACACATCTGCGAGTTCAGTCTCTCTGGATCTGGTTACACCTCCTTCTTCCCTGGAGGAAAATGTGAACGAAGCTTCGAGTTCACAGAATTCAGTGAACATCTACTGATGTGAACACAAGCCAAAGCTTCAATTTGGCATTGCAATGGCCACATCCCTCTGGCTGTCATAAGCATGATTCATTTGTATACTATTCTTTTTTTTGTTTTTTTTTTTTGTTTAATACACTGGTGATCCCCACCTTAAAAGCCCTTGAGGCTTTTTTCGGGACACCCTTTTCTTTCATTTATTTGTATTACTAGCTCATACATGTATGTACATACTCTGTTAACCTGATGTAAACATGAAATTATGCATGACATACTGTTAATTTTTTTTTTTTTAATTGTACATATTGGAAGAAATAAATGAGAGCTATATGCTCTCTCTCAATCAATTTCCATGGTTGTGTTGTTGATATCTACACAGGCACAGCACAGCCAATTGGTCATGGAAAACAACTTTGTCTTTGTACCATTATCCATAAACGCTACATGTACATGCAGTAATTTTTGGGGCTATTTTTTGGCTATTTTTCAACTAGCTCACTGCGTTCAGGATTTTGTATTGACTATTGTTTTTTATTGTTGAACTCATGAATTTGCCTGCTGTTTTTTTTAAAGACAAGACTTTTTATTTGATGTAATTGTGCATCTAAACTGAAGTTTTCGGAATTGACTCAGACTTCTAAGTTAGCTCACTCATATTGGATAATTTGGGGGTACCGGTAAGTAAAGTAGAGAGAGAGAAATTTGTAGAACACATGTAGATTCTGGATTGATCTAGATCTATTTTTTTGTTGCATAAACCAAATGATGAATGTCTTTATTCATTCATTATACGGCTTTTTGCGATAGATACACACAGCTTCAACTCAAGTGCGGATAGATCATATAATGAACTCATATGAATCAACTTAACCTTTCAGAACTTTCCAATCATCTTCGATATACAAACTGTTGTCTAGACTTGGAACTCACACGTCCTAGTCTGAAACGGCGCTACCCCATCAAGAACGCGTCATGCAAGCAAGTTATTTGGAACACAGAACGCGAACTTCTACACGCGTGGATTCAGAAAATACAGAGAAAGATCAATGCATTAAACAAAAGTATTGAAGTCCTTTCGTCATCACTTAAGAACACCATCACAGAAGACCTTTACAAGGAGTTGGATACTCAGTGTAGAGCAAGACAGGAGCGTACTTTTATGAAGACCAAGGAGCGTCACATCAAGAAATTACATCTTCTTGAAACAAGATCACAAAACTGGAAGTCAAAACCCCAGGAACACCAACCCAGGAATCAGCAACTTGTGGTGAACCTATCTTCCAAGGTATTGAAGAACAATCCAGTGTTCTGGTAGAGGGATTGAACTTTGCTGTCTCCTCTCCATCCATTTCATCGGACGACATCATTGCCAGCACTGTACAGGTTTGTTATTAATTACCTGTAAATGAGGCTAATTCTCTCCGGTCTGAGGTTGCCAGCATTTTGAAATCTGCCAAACCCCCAAGACCTAACCTCTCTAGAACTGATAGTTTAGCATTTAATAGTTTGGCTAAGAAAAGAGATCTTATCGTTCTTTCAGCTGACAAAGGAAGAGCTACAGTTATTTTGGACGAGAAGGATTATCAAGAGAAAGCAGAACATTTGCTCTCGGATACTAAGACTGATACAAGACTCAAGAGGGATCCTGTTACTAACAAGTTAAAATCTACATTAACTACATCTCTAAGGGAACTAAAGGACAAAGGGCACATTGAAGAGAAGACTTAAAGATGTGTCTCTTCCTCCAACTCATGTCCATGCACCACCCCCAGGTTTGATGGACTTCCTAAGGTTCATAAAAATAATGTTCCACTACGATCGGACCCATTGTCTTCTCCATTAACTCTGTCTTGTATGATCTTGCTAAATATCTTGCCGAAATAATTCAACCTATTGTTGGCGGTACAGATAGACATATTGTGAACACCTCTGATTTTGTTTAAAAAGTAAAATCATGTCAGTTATTAGCAAATGAGAAACTGGTGAGCTATGATGTTAGTTCACTCTTCACTAGTGTTCCTGTCAAACAAGCTGTGGATGTTGTGATATAGAAAGGTTGCAGGATGACCAAATCCTTGATGATAGAACAGATTTAATCTTTTAAGGAGGATAAACAAGACAACCTAGTAGGACTACAGGAGGTCATGGAGAAGACAAAGACAAAGGCAAACAGGCAGGCACAGAATACACAGAAAAATTGAGAACATGCAATGATGAGAATATATGTATATTTGTTTATTTGTTTTACCTGACTGCTAAGAAATAATGTGTATGCTTATAAGTAAGCAACCAGGGAACCGACAGCTTTAAGGTTTCACTGAAGGACTTGGTAATGAGGATTGAATCTTTACCAAAGGGCTAGTGCATCAACTTGGTTTCCGAAACTCAGGACCTCCCAGTTACGAGACGACTGCTCTATTACTGAGCCATCGTCCGTCATTATGTATGTAGATGACAGTACTTCATAATTGGTTGTTCTTACCTTTCTTTATATCCGTAGGGATCTTTCTGGTGTTTGTCAATGATGGGAATGTAGCAGGGCAGGATGGCGGTTGCACAACTCTGAAATCAAATTTAAAAAAATCAAAGGTGCCATTTTTAAAAATCCACAATAATGAGATGCTACATCAGTATTACAGGCAGCACATAAGATTACATACTCAAAACATCAAATATGAGTCAAATTAAAAGTAAGTTACAAAAAGAAGGTTAATTTCTCTCTGAACACACAGAACATTAATGAGTTTGCTGAACATGGTCCTATAGGAAAGAAAAATCAAAGATTTTACAGAGCTTTAGGAAAAATTCAATCAGAGGAAAAATCTTAAATGGATAAATAATTAAATAAGTAAATAAATTTGATAATACAAATTAAAAAAAAAAATTAAAAAAAATTAATGTTTTTATCACAATACAGTCATCAATTTAATTATTTAACGTGTACTTACTTTGACAAAAGAGAATGCCTTTTCTTGAGTTGGTTGATCAATGTCGTCAAAGAATATACCGCCAAGACCTCTTCTCTCTCCTATGTATTGATATTAAAAGGACCATGATTAATAAATCTTTAAAGTTTATATGCAGTGGTGAAAAAGTATATTCTGTGAGAGTATCTCTTTATGTTTTGAAAATAAAATGTGGTAATATTTTGTTTGTCTCTATAGTCTCTAAATATACTGTTTTATAATACCTCGACACTCATATATACACTAAGTCTTGGAAACATGTTTTTACACATTCCCTCCCCACACAAAATGAATACATTCCTTCCTCATTTAATCAAGACTTCCTAATACAAAACAAGGAGAAAGCTGCTCACATGGAATACCACAAAGTAGTGAATTTATGTCTGATCGATTACAAATTGAAATCTTGGAACATATAGTATCATAATAATAACATTCCCATTTATTTACAAATATACCCTACTGTACTTAATACAAAGTATCACATCATTATCCTAACTGTAACTGAGCCCCTAACTATATTAAGGGCACTAAATCATTCAAGAAATTCTTCCTACCAGGTTTCTTATTTACTTCACCTGGGTAGAGAGTGACAAATGTAGATTAATGTCTTGCCAAACGACGTTAGTGCCAAGGCACTACTCGAACCGTGGACCGTGTGATCTATAGTCCGGTGACACATCCACAAGATCACATCACCGCAACCATTAGCATTATATCATAATCATTATTCATTATAGCACTTAGAGACTTTGGTGGTAAGTGCTTTATAAGCACTGTTTTTATTTTCATTATTGAGGTGCTCACCTCTATGTTCGACTACAAAGTAATTGTCGCACCACTCCTTAAACTTGGGGTAGTACTCTGGGTCATGGAGGTCACAGGCTGCCTTCAGCGTTCGATGGAAGTGGGTCGCATCCTGGGGGTACGATATGAAAAAAATAGCTGTAAATTAGATATCAAGTTCATTTTTCATTTTTTTTTTTTTTTTCATTTTGATATCTGTGCCCCTTCTTATTAAAGGTAAAGACCGGTATTGGAAACGCCCCAATTTCAAAAAATGAAATGGAAGCTCTCATTACCAATCATGTGAAAGAATATGTTTTGACTAATACATGATGATAAAAAATTTGCCGGGAAACCGCCTACTAATTCATATATTTGGTAAATTTGTTTCTCTCATGGTCTGTGAGAGATATATGGTAGTCCCATATACATCTTTCTCTGTATAGTGCTTGTAACTTTACGAAGAATGGGCCAAATTTCATATCATTTTGATGATTCCAGAACCTTGCAGATGCTAGACGCTAAATGATCAACCTTTTCTGATCGATTCCACAACGTTTCTTTCACAATGCAATCGCATGACCATAACTGGTCTTTACCTTTAACACTTGTGATCAATTACAACTTATTGGCAATTTATATATATCGGAACTATGTACATAAGATATAGGTGACTGCAAACTTGCAACTGATAAGAGCACTTACAATTGATTTGGATCAATCAAACTCTTTATTATAAGACAGGGGTATTTGCCTCTCAATACATATACATGTACATGTATCATTACTACCTTTGTGCCGTATCAACTACTTCAGATGACAGTTCATTCATGCAGACCTGTCAGTCTCTTTTCAAGTTTTGAAATACATTAACAAATATATTTTTGTTTTAACATCCTCAACATGAACATATTTATAGTGAAATACTAGGATATTTTCATGCCCAATTTAAGGAGCACCTTCTCCCCCCCCCCCCAAACAACCCCCCAGTGAGACTCTGCCCAAATACTTACTTCTTCATCTAGATAGTAGGGGGTCAGGTCTGTACCCCCTCCGAACCACCACTGGGACTCCCCGTCTTGCTCCACTTCAAAGTAGCGGTAGTTGAAATGTAGCGTAGGTATCATGGGGTTGCGCTATGAAAAGCAGATTAAAACAATAAAGTTTGACTCCCCCATGCTTAAGTCTTCATCTACAGTTACCAACTAATTTATTCATACCCCTTTTAAACTTGATTTATTTTTGTATTTTTCGTAATTTAAGAATGACAGGGGGACTGGTTGAATAAGAATCTTTGTTGAATACTTTTGGATGTAAGGTTTAATATGTCACGTTGTCAAGAATGGATATAAATTGGGACAATTCAAATTTTAACATACTTAACAAATTATTAAATATGGTAAGGTATGAATTATTTAGAAAACTGTATATATTAATGGGGTTTGTGATCTGTACCCCTGACAACCTGGACAACCCCATGATTGAATCATATCGGTCAAGCCCCAAGTTACATTGTAGAATTGTCAAACTCAAGTCTCACTAACATAACTACAACCTATGCAGCTCCCAAAATACTCTATACTATCATTACATAAAAAGACTCCATATTATCGTTTAAAATAATGACTAGGCGAGTCAATACAATCCATTGTCCTCTAACAAAATAGATGGGACTTTAGAATTTTCTTGAATAGATCAACAGATGAAGCAGTCTTCACAATAGTAAGTATATGGTAAGTAGCGTGTATGACAGATCTGAGGATTTCTTCATGTATATCTTTAATATCATTATCAGAATATATTTCTCTTCAACTCTGCATGATCTTTATAAGAATTCAAAGAAGGCTTTTCATTCACACACTGTGTGAGTTTTCCCTGTCTCACTGAAAATATGTTGGGTCAGTTTACAATTCAGAAGACTAGCAAAACATAAGGAAGACATAATGAATACATACTGGGTGTACAACTGAGCTGATGCCTGTAGCGAAGAATGGGAGTTCTTTGCCTGGTGTTAAGGGCTTCCCTCTGAAAGAAATGTACAGTAAGATCAAAATATTATGTCTTATTAGTAATCAAAGAATAAAGCAATAGTTTAAATAAAAGCAACATAAAGGTGCCATATATCTGTTGACTTTGGCACTCATCGGCCTTTGTCAGGAGCTCCATTCCCTGGTCTTTCATTGTTACCACTTTACAGACAATGTCAATTGTTATTGTATAATTGTGTTAAGTGGGGGCAGCTGCAAGAGCCCTATCTCACACCCCTGGGCAACGTATCTGACACAGCCGGTTGTAGCAACTACTCCGAAGATCAATTTTATTTTAAATTAATCTTGATCTGAACATACATTATATAATTTTAAGGAAATTATATCATTTACATATATAAAATATTGTACAACTTATTTAGACCCTCAATCATTACATGTTTAGTCATTCAAATCAAATACTTTTGCAAATTCTTCCCCCACCCAGGCCCTGTTTCATAAAACTTGTTATCAATAACAAGTTACAATAACTGTTAGCTACTGAAATGGTGACATGCGATTGGCTGAGAGGAGGTTGTCATAGAATTTTAGCATCTTTTTATTGATAACAAGTTTTATGAAACAGGGCCCAGATCATGATCTTGGAGTGTATGTAGGCTGAAGTGTGGAGAAAAGAAGACTGGTGATCCTATCTACCTTGCTCTCATCTGTGCGGCTGCTTTGGGCGACAACTTGCCATGTACCACTGAGATGTTAACACCAGCTCTCTCAAAGACTTCCCCATCTTCCAGGATGCAAGTGATGCCTCCTCCTCCCTAAAACAGACCAAAGAGGAAAATATCCTTTTCACAAAATATTATTATGGCAGCCGTGCTAAAGCCAGGGTAATAATCAGGAGCGCCAGGAGGGTCAAATCTGACTGACATGAGCGCTATACAAGAACCCACTGTTATTATTATTACCGGTATTATTAATTATCAGTAAGAGCTCTGAAATATATACAAGATGCAGGATTAGAAAAAGCAACATTTTTTGTTGCAGTCTCATAGGATGCTTGAATTTAGAACAGTTTTTGTTATTGAGGAAAATAGCTATCAAATCATTAAATTGGCAATGTGTTGAACATTTCCAAATGACATTTCCCCATATAATAATAGATGTGATTATGTCCCATTAATTTGCCTCACTTTTCTTGCCGAAACGACACAATATTACACCTGCTATACCAAATTATTTGATTAATTCGACTTTCCAATATTTCTGGGCTTGTAAAGAACTTCAAAGCCATCGTAATTCATTGACTGCCAGCAAGAAAATAATTACTACCATTGACAATACCATTACTATGATACCATGACTATACTTTAAACATATCCATGAAGGCATAGTCATTATGGTCATTCGTACCTCGGCTCTTTCCCATCTGTCGATCTTGAACTTCTTCTCTCCTTCGATTTCCTCTAGAGCTTTGCAGATTTTGGCCTTTCAGAAATAAATAGAATATCACTGAATAATATTTTACAAAATGAAACAGCATACACTAAGGACACATCAAGCATTTAACACTATAAAGAGCTGCCTAGTACCCATGCACCCCCCCCCCTAAAAAGAATAAAATTACGACCCTAAAATTTCAAAATATCACCTAAGGCTCACGCCTACAGACTCTCAATTTTCATTTGTAACCCTGGGAGAAAATTTAAGCCAGAGCCCTGTATATAGTCAGTATTTTACAAGCAATACAGTCTTCTAAATCAATATAAAAGAGCTTCTGGTTATTTATATGTGATTTTCTAAACGAGTACATGTATCTTTCAAAGAGACCCCTCTTGGCTATTAAACTTTAGATTTTACCTTAACAGGAGATCAACAATATGAGATACTCAGCATGTTTCTTCTTTTCTTCATCCCCTTTTCCCTTCTTTCCTCCTTTCCTTTCTTCCACTATTTCCTTCCTGCTTCATCTCTCCTCTCTCTCTCTCTCCCCACTCCATATCCTTTTTCTTTCTCTTTCTCTCTCTCCCTCCTCATGTCATGCAACATACCGTTCACGTACCTGTGTTTTCATTATGAATAGCTCCATCCTTGCTCTCATTTTATCCTCCTGAAACAGTCACATAAATATAATAAATGCAAAATGATTATCAGTAAATCAACAAACCATGCTACAAATGTATTAAAATCATGCTTGGCAAGCTTCCATCTTAAAAAGTCTGAACATTATTGACAAAAACAGAGACACTAGTCATTTATCAGCTTCAAAAGCAGTTTCCTCTTGACTAATTAACCTGTTTACAAATGAATTCTCTCATTCCCTACACTAAACCAAGAAACCTCCAACTTCCAAAGTAATGGTTTAAAGATTCACAATCTACAGAAGTAAACCATATTGTGCTTGATTGAGTGAATTGAGTAAAGCAAATATTTACAGCTATTTTTCTGATTAAAAAAAAAAAATGCTTAAATAAAGAAAAGGAAGGCGATGTTTTCATTTATGACAAAATGTGTTCACTTTGGAATTAACAAAGATTGTACCTAAAACTACCTCAGCAATTATGCTCTGCGATCAATTTCTTACACTGGAAACCATGCCTAAAGGGAGTTTATGCCTGGAGTATTAAAAGAATGTGCACCTTTACGAATATAGGCCATCAGGGTATACTACCTTTTCTAGAATGCTCAGATCTGTGATAGGTTCTGCCATGAGTTCTTTAGCCTGAGCAGCAGCAGATGATCCCAACGTCGTCTTGGCCAGAACCAAGTTGTGCTTGGAGCAGAAGTAGAAGAAAAAAACATTTTTTACTATATTGCAACCCATTAGACAGGATCTGATTTGATATAACGTGTATTTTCAATATACTTCATCCTAGAAAACTCTGGCTAAGTATTCAGTGGGTTAAACAATACAGGATGCAAAATTTTAATCAACTGTTTGCAAAGAGCTACATGTAGAAAAGCAACGTCTCTTGATTTACAAGTTAAGTACATACATTTTTTTTCTCTTCAAGTTTTGTTTTTTGGCAGTTGTTTTTATCCATGATTAAAGTTGCACGGAAGCTAATATTTTAAGATAAACCAAACGGCTAGAAAAGACCAAAGAGTTCAGGTAATATATCTGGAGGATATATGGACATTATTAGAACAAAACTCGGCCGTTACTTTTGGAAAATCTCATAGAGAAAATAGAAGAGCTGAGCAAAAAAAAAATATATAACTCTCAGATAAACTGCTTTTTAGACCCCTTTCCCTGATCCTTTTTACTCAATCTTCTTTCAGAGCATTCCTAAAAAAATAATGAAAAATTATTTGTTCACAGCTTTGCCATCTTTTATGATTTCTAGCCCTGTAACTTCTGTCTCATTTGTCGTGCAGGTCACATAAAATGTTTGTCTATACCTATATGAATTACCTTCGTCTTGTAAGCCCCATGGCAGATCACCCCTCCTCCTACCACTGCGCAAAAAGCTCCAACTTTTCTGTTTTTCGTAATAAAATGAAATAAAAATAGTGACTTAGTCTTTTATTGTTATTCAGGAACAAGAAACAGGAAGAAAAGAGTAATTTTGTTCAAAATGTGCATTTGCAAACAAGCACTTTATTTGTTGTTGCAGTTTCTTGTACATACTGGAAAGAAAATTCTAATGTCCGAGTTATTCTATAGCTTGATAACATCAAGCTTTAATGGTTGAGACAAGAAGAACATAGCTACAGCTTTGTTGGCATAAACATAGTGGTGTTTCGATCAAGAAATTTTCAGCTCTAGACTATATATACATGTATCTGTACACATAAAAGGCACCTTAAGATATGGGAATATTGTTCTAGGGTCTCCTATTTAGTATTAAAAGTGCATTTCACCTGGGTTGTCACCAACTCCAGGGAGCTCCGACGCCAACGCCAAAGGTGTCGGAACTCCAGATGCAAAATCTGAAACAAAAAATCAAACAGCGGTTGTGGCGACATTTTTCCTGAAGTGTGTAACGGTAGTAATTACAAATTCTGACACGACTTGAAACAACAGAGCAGTGTTGAACAACCTTGTGCATATTCAGCTTTTTCGAGCGAACGGTGCTCTATAGCATGAATATTCATATTTGCTGCACAGCTACCGCGCATGCGTACTTTCTCTTCGCCATGTTGAATCAACGATACAATGGCTCGGTTTAGGACGAGGAATCACCCCTTTTCCCATCGAAGACTTCTTCAAATTATAACTTCAAGTGTGGTGTCACATGCCCAGAGGAGTCGAAAACACTGTAAGTCAGAATTTGTAATTAATACCATTACACACTTGAGAAAAAATGCCGCCACAACCGCAGTTTGATTTTTGTTTCAGATTTCGCATCTGGAGCTCCGACGCCTTTGGCGTCGAGCTCCCTGGAGTTAAGTGGTCACAAGTTCTTCATAGAGGAAATTTCTTACCGATATTTAAGGAGAAAGCTCATTCTTGTTGCCATCCTTATGTATGATAGTCCAGCACCGTAAATCTAAAGAATGCAGGCCGTTTTCCCAGACGTATCAGTGGTCAACCTGAGAAAATTAAAAATATATTTTTGAAAATTGCAATGTACAGGTAGACTACTTCAGGGCCTGGGCCTGTATTCAATTAAATACTTAGCATTAGTAAGAAATTTACTAAGTAGAATCTAAATGGCAAAGTTAAGTAGACCTAGGGTCTAAATTACTTATCTCGTATTTCATTCGCATTTTAGACTTACATGTATACTTACGTAAGACAAAATCCAAGTAAAATACTTACTGATAAGCATTGTGACGTCACACGGTCAATCAAAAGTAATGCGCAATTGATGCGTTATAATAAATGCGCGCTAATATAATTGTGCGCAGGTTATAATACTGCGTAAGAAAACCATTTGCCTGCCAATCAAGGCCCCCAATTGGCTTAAGTCTGGTAATGGTATGGAGTTGGCTAACACCTAGGGTCTAGTGCAATGCTAGAGGTCAATACGCATTAGCATTGACTCTCTATGCTTTAGCTTTCTTGGAGTGCCCCCCCCCCCCCCACGCTCGTACATGCATATATTTCAGTGCATGTGTGGAGAAAAGGGACGATGCGCCGATGCACTTCTAAGTTCTAGCCATAGGCCTAGGCCTACACGTTTTAGTACACCTTTATCAGTGAATGGGACCGTGTAGAATCCAAAACCGCATATGACCCATCAAATAAACTACAATATAGATATCATCGAGCAATACTCTTCATGTCATTAGCAATATCAAACAATCAAAATACGATTCGAGGAATAAAAACGGTGCAATGTTACCTATTTTGAGATATTAAGCCCACTTTTATGCCGCTGTCCAGAAGACTACTTTTGCTAGCCTTGGTCTCAGCCGTTTATTAGTCTAGACGTAGTCGTTGACCGTGAAACGTTTATGATTCCTTCAAATTTGCACGTACGCCGCGGAAAGATAAAAATAGATGTTTGTATTGTTAGGTATTAATATTACCCTGCAACTCTACAGGAATTTTGAAATTCAGTTTTGTTTAGTTTTTCTCTAAATCTATCTATTAATATTTTGTGAATGAGAAACCAAAACTGGGGGGGGGGGGGGGGGGGGGGGGGGGGGGGGTTGAGCACTAATATGTATATTTTTTGGCTCAAAGGGGGAGGGGTATGGAACTTTATTTCTATTTTTTTACTCAACAACCCTCCCCCCCCCCCTTTGAAAAAAGACATTTTTTTTTGCTAGGGGAGGGAGCCCCCGCCTCCCTGTTAAACATTTATCTTAGGTTAACGAGGTCTATTATTATTTTTGTTTTGATCAAACAAAAGTCCGTGAAGGGATTTGGGAGGCTCGGTGTAAAAATGTCAGAGGAAAAAATGTCAGAGGTAAAAATGTCAGAGGTAAAATGTCAGAGGTAAAAATGTCAGAGGTAAAAATGTCAGAGGAAAAAATGTCAGAGGTAAAAATGTCAGAGGTAAAAATATCAGAGGTAAAAATGTCAGAGGTAAAAATGTCAGAGGAAAAAATGTCAGAGGTAAAAATGTCAGAGGAAAAAATGTCAGAGGTAAAAATGTCAGAGGAAAAAATGTCAGAGGTAAAAATGTCAGAGGTAAAAATGTCAGAGGTAAAAATGTCAGAGGTATAAATGTTAGAGGTATACAATAAAAACAAAAGCATGTGACAAGCTTGTTATAATTACACCCGGGTTATATATTTAATTAGGCTTATCGAAAAAGAACAGCGAGGGATATTCTGCAGTCGTTATTTCACCGCTGCTTTATTTTCCACTTTCCCAGTTTAAATTTATTTACCTTTCGGCCCAAAATTGTGACTTTTTGCCCGATTATTGCCGAAGGAAGACGGGGGGGGGGGGGGGAGGAGGGTATTCTTCTTCTGGGGCACGGTGACCCGGCTGCTCTCCCCTTCCTCTTAAATATATGCTTTGCTTTATATATCCTTCCGAACAGTGGTCAATACCTAGGCAGAGCAGGCAGACTATAATGGGACATGGTTTCTACTCCGAGTTTCGCGCCTTGCAAGCAGTCATCAGGCAACTGATAGCATTCTTAAAAGTACATGATTATCCTACAACCTTGGTACAAATACCCCTAAAATAAGAATTAACTAATAAAAATACAATTGGAATTACTCATGAGTATTCTTATTGCATTGTATTCAGGTATTGTAGTCTTATTTTTCATTTCATTTCATTTATTTTCATATTTCTCATAAACATACAATGTATGTTTATGAGAAATATGAAAATAAATTGTTTTTATTTTAATAACAAATAATAATAACAAAGATAAGTGGTCAATATGAATTTGTGATTTAACTAAGAGAAATATGATGGGACCTACATGAAAGCAAGCTTGTAAGGCTGTAGGCCCCAGTAAAGTAATTGTGGTAATAAATGGAGGACGGATATACATGTATTGTATAGCTCTTATTTTGAGCGTATTTGTACCAAGGTTGTAGAGGAATCATGTACTTTGACGAATGCTATCAATTGTCTGATGATCGCTTGCACGGGCATGAAACTCGGAGTAGTAACCATGCATGTCCCATTAGTCTGCCTTATTAAATATTTATTTACCGGTATATTATGCTTTTGTATAAGCAAATGGTACTGGTACACTGAGCAAACTTCTGTGCGCACGTTGCAATAAAATATTGTCGATTACTATTGCGGTATAAAATAGTCTGGGAAAAATCAATAAGCAGCTTTGTTACTCCGATACAAAGCAGAAAGAGCAGAAAGCCGCCCACGTTACATCAATTAAAGAGAAGGTTGAGTTCTGGGGAAAGGTGAACAATGTGAGCGTTTGTTATCATTCTTATTATGCAAGTGTGGAAGAACATCAAAGAAAAAAGTTATTCCTTGAAAATCTATTTCAAATGACTTCATATCCCAGATATGACAAGTAACAGCTTTAAAATGAGGCCCGATGTGTATGCCATATGTTTGTGTAGTCCCATATCAATATCTTTCTGTGTACAGTGCTTGTTACTTTACCAAGACTGGGCCAAAGATTTTATCATTTTGATGACTCCAAAACCTTGCACTACACACCATTAATAACATGTTTATGCTAGATGATCAACCTTTCTTGATTGCTTCCACACCGTTTCTTTCACAATGCAATCGCAAGACCAGAACTCAACTTTATCTTTAAATGCCAACCGCACCATCACATTTTAGAGAAGTGCGCGCTTTGCAGAGGTTCGGTTTAAATGACATCGTTATTTATAATTGTCGGAGAGTTTAAAATGGGGATGAGCTTCTGAATCGAGACAGTCTTTTACTTTTTGGAGCGGGTTTTTAGTTTTCGGAGCGACTTTTTACTTTTCGGAGCGACTTCTTGATTTTCTTATTCTTACTCTACTTCCTTTGCCGCCATGAGGTGCTAAAGCTTTAGCAGTGTTCGGGGCGCCCAGCCCTTATATGTAACTTTTCGTGATTCCTCGGGATTATGTAACTATTTTGTACTAAATGCACTACTCACTTTAACACTTGACTTTTGTCGAGAATTTTCATTTCTTCGTTTGGACTTTGTTCGTCTCTGGAACGTTACACGGGCTATGTTGCAGGCTGCCACCGGCCAAACCGGTCCGTTTCACAAACATTAACACATCAACCAAATCAAAATATCAAAAAATGTTAGACATTCATTATATGCAAGCCTGATCACAACAAAATAAATTTCAAAATCTATTTTCCACATTGTATTATCCTCAGGACATGTACGAAATACTTTGCTAATTTTTTTGCTTGTACCTCTGACATTTTTACGACTGACATTTTGTCCTCTGACATTTTTACGACTGACATTTTTACCTCTGACATTTTTACGACTGACAATTTTACCTCTGACATTTTTACCTCTGACATTTTTACCTCTGACATTTTTACCTCTGACATTTTTACCTCTGACAATTTTACCTCTGACAATTTTACCTCTGACAATTTTACCTCTGACATTTTTACCTCTGACATTTCTACCTCTGACATTTTTTCCTCTGACATTTTTTCCTCTGACATTTTTACCTCTGACATTTTTACCTGGCACCATTTGGGCTGCCATCTCGAGGTTTCATCGAAGTTGAGAGTTCTTTTCTAACCTTCTTATCATGATTGTCGACACTTTCTGACATCCGTCTACATTTTTTTTTGTTCTTTTTCCCAGATTTCACAATCATGCGTGGATGATGAGAACATCATAAGAGTTAATATTGTTAGTAATAATAATCATTTCTGTCCAAAACGTATATTCTAATCTGAGTTACAAAAATAGAATATGATTTACAAAACGTTAAGGACAGCGATTTTTAATATATATATATATATATATATATATATATATTTAAAATAGAGTTATTCATAGATTTCATTGTTCGTGTTCCGACTCTCTAGTCACGCAGTGGCGGCTACAAGGGGGTGGGGTGTGTGTGTGTGTGTGTGTGTGTGGGGGGGGGGTCGTGTAAGTAGCATACAGCGTTTGCCCTTTACTTGGGGGATATAGGCCTATACATTATAGTAAATTTATAGCTTGTGTGTATGCGGGTTTAATAGAATGTCAGATGTTCCTTCAAATAATTCTTCTCTTTCCGATAATCCTTTTTTAAAATCATAAATCTGCGCCTTTGTATGTCTCTAATTGGTTTGATTGCTGTGTCTTACGAAATCCCATACTGACTAAACGAGATCTCACGTGCAACGTAGGATATATGCATAGTATTTAAGTTGGAGGATCGACTCAGATTAACATTGAATTTTGCTCTATTTACTCAGATATACCTGAACATAAAGAAAAGGGGAGGGGGAGAAGAAGAAGAAGAAGAAGAAGACAAAGAAGAAGAAGATTAAGAAGGCAGAGAAGAAGCTAGAAGAAGATCAAGACGGAGAAGAAAAAGAAAAAGAAAAAGAAAAAGAGAAAAGAAGAATTTTACGAAGAAAGGAAGAGGCTAAAAAAAGATCAAAAAGGGTAAGAAAATGAAGGAGGAGGAGAAATAGAGAGAAAAAAGAATTTTACGAATAAAGGAAAGGAAGAAGAAGAAGAAGAAGAAGAAGAAGAAGAAGAAGAAGAAGAAGAAGAAGAATCGGGAAAAAAAGAATTTTTCGAATAAAGGAAAGGAAGAAGAAGAATAAGAAGAAGAAGAAGAAGAAAGAAAAAAAACTTAGCTGTTTCTCTAAAGGTAGCCTATTAATATTTATCCAAACTAAAGAGTGCGTAAACCGAGACTAAATGAGACCTACGAATAGAAGGTGGTATCCTGATTTAATGTAATGTAGTCCAACACTTTATAGTCTGAAGTGCACATGCCGAATGGTATAAATTGAAGGTATGAATTGAGTTACACAAACACAAATAAGTTAATACAGTTTAAGCACTGATTCT